TAGCTTGGGCCGAGCCCATCAGGTTCACAAATGATACCTGACTCCTGCGGGCTTATGTACCCTCTGCTTCTGGACTTGCTGCAGCCCCTCCAAGCACACCCGCCAGGACTACTGAGCTGGGTGCCATCAGTCTTGGGAAATGAGAGTGAGAACTTCCTAAAACAATGTTTGGCAAACTTGAGTTCTTTTCAAAGGCCAAGAAGCATTCCTACGGAGCCCCTGTTGACTTAAATTATTGCTGTGGAAATAACACAGCACAAACACAAACAGCTAAGCTTATAGTTGCTTTACAAGCGCAAAACAAAAAACAAATGTATAAATTAAAGACACACAATTACCAACAGCAATAAAACTCTAACAACGTTAATGTGACTATGGGCGTTTGTGAAACCAATTAGCCTATGCTGTGAATATGGAACTGAACGCCATTCAGATTCTCCTGTAGGGTGACAGGGCTCTCAAGCCAAGGGCCCAGAAGTGAGTCAGAGCCTTAACAGCAGTTGTGTGCTGATAGAGCTTGATGCCTTTACCTCCATGGGAATCAAACTGCCACCGGAGTTAGACTAGCTCATCCCAGACCTCAGTTACAATCCATTGCTTCTGTAACACTTTTAGTCTTACTCCAAGCTGGGAGTCTTTGTGTCTCTGTAGAGGACTTACAGATGTCTTATTCCTTTATTTCTAAGTTATTAAGAATCCAGAATGGGAATTTCCCTGAAGTCTAAGTCTTCTGCTTGAATTCACAACATCAGAACTGTGTTTTCCTGTCACATCTTTGAAATGGGGAGGAAGCACTTTATAATTACTAGTACCTTACAGTAGATGAAATATGCATGAGATTGATTAATAATTATATGAGGCTTACGAGCAGCAGATATATAAAAACATTAAGATAGCTTAAAAGTCATAAACAAGCTTTCAGTTTTAAGTTTTCTTTTGCAAAAAATGAAAACTTATAGAGATTGTGAGAATGGTATATGAATTCCATATGCTCTTTATCAAGACCTACCTGCTCTTTCCATTTGCCTCTCTCTCCTTGTGTCTCTGTCTCTCTTTCCATATATATATTATATATAATACATATGATAGATAAACTTGTTATTTTTGCTGACCCATTTAAGAATAATTTATAGTCACTCTATTAACACCAAATACTTCAGTGTGGATCGCCTAAGAACAAGTGCGAACACATTCTCTTTCATAATCATACTCAGAAAATGTATGTAGTATACAATATAGTCCATGCATATTCAAAATTTGCCAGTCTTACCAATAATGTCCTTTTTAGGAATTTTTTCCTGGCCCCGTATCAAGGATCTAGGATCATACATTTCACTTACTTGGTAAGTCTTTTTCACCTCCTTTACTCTGAACAGTTCTTCAGTCTATCTTTCACTCATTGAATGTTCAATGAACGTAGAAGGCATGGACTGAGATTTTTAGTCTTGTACATCAGGGGTCAGTTCTAAAATGTTTTCCTTGTGGTCAGTTTTATAGACATCTGTTCAGTTCCTAGTCCCTCCCTCATTCCAATCCCCTCCATTTAGAGCCTTCTAGGAATCTGGGGACATGTCTTTCCATTTCCCGGGAGCTCGTCCAGCTTGCTTCATGCAGCCGGCCTGCAGAGCCCTTGGCATCAGCTCACAATCACGCTCATCTATTGGGGTCACCCATGAGGTTGGTTAGAAGCTATTTCTCTCTAGACATCCTGTCAGTTCTGCAGCTTCACATTTCTGTACATTTCAGGAAAAACAGTGCACTCCGTGTTCCTTCCTCAGTGGTGCAGGGGAAGACGGTGCTGCAGGTTTCATGTAAGCTGCACACCACAGGGGCTTTCGGCATTTCCTTCTGACTGGATGGGTGCATTGTCTGTAACCACAATCTCCCTTCTTTCTCATCCTTTCCCTGCTCTCTCAGTCACAGCTGAAAACCTCTTCTGTCTGGAGTGAAATCTGTTCACTCTCTTTTAGTGGCAATTCAAGCATGTGGCTGACGGCTTTTGACTGTAAAATGCCTGTGAACAATATGGAGGAGCAAATATGCAAAACTACTTTTAGAAATCTAGATTGAAAAAGTAACACATGGAAATCTGCTAAACACCGTAGAAGAGGGATGTTTGCTTTTTCTCAGTGGTCTTGGTTTAGGGATGCATTTGCTGTACGCAAAGTCCATTACAAAACCATGCCATACACTTCCATTCTGATCCACGTTCTAGCAAACAACGGGATCATGAAAAAGGAAAAGCTCCAGCCTGCCAAGTCATAGCAGAATGCGCTTATTTGAGAGAATCTGGATTTCTAAGATTCTTTCTACCAGTGACAACTGCTAGAATCCAGGATTAGTTGAGTAGGCTCTCCACATAGCTTACTGTCCACAGAAATATGGATCAATTTTAGAATGGTTTGAACACCCGTCTTTTTAAAAGGTAAATAACAAATACTTAGGTAAATAAAAAATACTCTTTGCAAGATAAATAAAAATACTTTTTACAAGGTAAATAACAAAAATTGGATAGTATTATTCTCCTAATTCAGTAGAAAGTCAGACCTGATAGAAGCAAGGTAGGGACAAAGCATTCTGTGGAGGATTTGCAAATGGTCCTAAGCTTAAGAATGAGTGAGCAGGCAGGAGGGCTAAAAAAATGATCTGAAAGGCCTTTGCCAATGTAGTACGGAACAGCTGAAATGCCGGGTCACTGGCTCTGTCTCCCCTGGGAGCTGAGTATATTCCCTTGTTCCTATGTTCATGCAGCAAAGGTCTTACAAGATGATTAGCTAGATTATTTGGGAAGCTGTAAAGTAGCAGCAGCGCACACAATTGTCAAATCAGCACAATGGTACCTGTCGCGGAAGTGCAAGAAAAGTACTTTCGAGCCTCAAATCTCCGGCACAAACCCAGTTTTGGCAAAGACAAAGCAAGTCAAGGGTGGCAAGGTTGAATTTCTGCTCCGTTTTGCAATGAGGGTCGATATTTAGAAATATACAATGACCAAAGCAGGAGTTGCCTCCTCCAAGGGTGTACAACACATCTAAGGGGTCCCTTCTGCTTTCCACCAACTGGGAGAGTAACTTGAGAGTAGCAGGTTGAGGTGGGAGGTTACCAAGGACACCAGATGGCCCTGCCACCTGTCTAGCTGCTCTTAGTACATCCATGTCAAGATGTCATTTTACGTGTGTCGCCTTCACTTAACAAATGAAGTTCGGAGAGGTTACACTGCTCCAGGATCCAAGGCTGTTGCCGGGCCAGAGCGGGTTGCTGGTCCGCTTTCAGAAACAGTGCTCCTCTTCAGACATCCTTCCCCAGTCTGCCAGGCACTGCCGCAGGCTCCAGGGCTGAGTCAACAGGGTGCAGTCAGAGTCCAAGTTCCCAGTGCAGACATTTGGTGCCCCACAGAACCTTGTAGAGGTCCCTGGTCTTCTTTGAGCCTGAATCGGCTAATTTGTAAAGTGAGGCCTAGGACATCACGTGGATGGGATATGAGGCTCATTTGCTCACGCATGCAAAGTGATTTCCAAACGTCAGTCTGGAAGCCTCATAGGGATGTTTGCATTCCTGGCCTGCAGGAGTCTGTCTGACCCCACCTCTAGTCCTCACACCCAAGGACATTTGCTGCCAGCTCACTATCAGCTCCCTAGGCCTTTCCACCAACCCAAATGATAGAAGGGGCTGCTTTCCCCAGCCTGGCTGCCTTGATGGTCAGTCCAGTCCCTGCAGGACTCTGCTCCACAGATGAGCCTCCCAGCTGGACAATCCCATAGGGCCCAGAGACCTCAGGAAGTACCTGGGTTCAGAGAGGTCACAGAGCCTTTGCATCCACTGGCTTGGGATGCCTGAAGGGGATGGATCCTCTGGGGAATGCCCTGGGGCTCACACTAGTGGGCAGCACACTGTTTCCATCCACTGCCACCTCCTCACTCCCTTCGAGGGAAGGAGATGAGGGCCCTATCTCCTCCTCCAGGGACCCACTCCCAACCAGGGCCCACCTGCTAGCTGCTGCTACCCCTCCCTGGAACTCCACAAAGACCTCTCCCGATAAACACACACAGATAGACCTAACACCCACGTTTCTTGCTTAGAGATGGGCTAGCCTCAGACCCTAAGTTTAGAACAGTGGCAAAGAGACAGGCATTGGCTCAGAGTGACAGGGCTCCATGGCTGCGTGACCTGGGTCTCCTTCAAGTGGCTGCTTCTGCTTCCTTATCTATAGCTGTAACAGTAGTGGTTGCTGACATTAGCGAATTGGGTTCTGGGGCTACGCCTTAACGGGAATGGTGTCACTTGGTCTTCCTAAACACCCCAGGAGGGGTGGGCCCATTCCCCCATTGTACAGGTGCAGGAAACTGAGGCATTTGGAGATTCTGGAACTGTCCCAGGGCCTCACGGTGGCCGGGTTCAGTAGTATCGGGAAAACCACTTTAGCCCAGGCCTGGCTGAGGGCAACGTAAATGGGCATTTTTGCTGTTGTTGTTGTTAATAGTTTCCACATATTCTGGGCTGGTCTGTGTGGACCCTCTTAGTTTGCCAAGGGGCAGCACCTCGGACTCTGCCCTCCATTTCCGGGCAGCAGAAGGGGCTTCTCTCCTTGGCTCCCGAGGGTCCCGTGGAGTGAGCGTAGGAGGCCCACAGCCAGCAGGTGAGTCTCAGACCAGAGGTTCCCTAGACCCGCCCCCACCCGCTGGCTCCCAGATCCCGCCTCCCCTTAGGAATAACTGCCTCTGTGGGCAGGGAACCGCCGGTGGCATTGCAGCCGTGTGCTCTCCGAGTCACCAGCGATCACCCTTGCAGAACCTCAGTTTTCTCATCTGGGAAATGGGGCTGGTGAAAGTGACGCCAAAGAAACTGGAGCGAACCGATCGCGCGGCGACTCCCACGCCCGGTGCGGGCCTCGGGACCCAGCAACCCCTGCCCGGCGTGGCAGGCGGCCCGAGGGGCGGGCCCGGGGCGGGCGCGGGCGAGGGCGCGGGCGCGGGGCGGGCTGGCGGCAGCCGGGCCGGGCGGCGGCGCTCTCCCGCGTCACAGCGCCGGGCGGCGGCGGGGAGATGCGGCTGCTGGCGCTGGCGGCGGCCGCGCTGCTGGCGCAGGCTCCGGCCCCGGGTAAGCGCCACGGGGCAGGCCGGGCGCGGGGCGGGTGGGGGCCGTCGGCCGCGCGGGGGAGACCGGGGCTCCGGGCCTGGTGGGGAGGCCCCGCCGCCTCCGGGCGCGGGCCGGGGGCGGCGCTGTCACTGTCGCCGGCGCGCTCCGGTGGGCTCACCGCGGGTCTGGGGGGCGCGGCGGCCCCTTCCCGAGTTCGGAGGACGCCTCCCCGGAGCGCGGTCCCTGTCCTGACCTCGCCCGGGGCTGGGCACTCTCACAGCGACCGTGTCCTTCCCAGCGGCAGGCCCCGAGGGGAGATGTTGCAGAGCGCAGCCCACGTTGGTGGTTCGCTTTCCTTCTTTCCAGGGAAGTCAGGACACACAACTCTTGGCAGGCTCCTCAGAGCAGCAACCCTTTCACTCTCTTTGGAGAGTTACTCTGAAGACAAGTCAGGAGCGGCTGGATCTGCCCGGGCCCGGAGGTGGGGAACGGGGACTTGCTCGTGGGCCTGTGGAGGTGACCAGGCCTGGTGAGAGGGGCATCCAGGGCTAGATGCAGTGACGCTTCTCCCACCAGCACCCTGCTTGAGGACAGCTTCTTGTTCCACACTAGGAGCTTTCATTAGGGTTTTACTGCTCCCGCCTGCAAGTGGCTGAAGAATTTTCTCTCTTTGTTCCCCAGAGCCCTGTCCGCTGCCCCAGGGTAACAGTGGCCGTACTGGCTGTAATTAACAGCTATCATACAGGTATCGATGGTCACTTTTCCTGAGTGCCTATCTGGGCCTAGCTCATTGAATCACAACACTTCCAAGTAATAATGACTACAACACGTTTATATATCCAAGTATTAAAAAAAAGTGAACTTTAATCTCACCAATAACCTCTGAAGGAAGTGCCATTATTATCCCCATTTTATAGATGAAGAAACTGAGGCTCAGGCCCATGAACGGACTTGCCTTAAGTCACTAGGCTTGTAAGTGGTGGAGCTGGGATTTGAACCCAGGAAGCCTGGCTCTAGGATCTGTTTCAATAACCACTAAACTGTGTTGCCATTGTTTTTGAAAATTAGGGAGCTGATGCTCCGAAGTAGGTAATTTTCCAAGAGTGATCCAACTACCAAATGATAGAGCTGACATTTGAGCCGGCATTACTCCCTAGATTGCAGTCTGAGGAGGAGGCACTTGGCTAACAGTGGGAAGAAATCCATCCATGGTCCCCCAGCTGTGAGTGAAGCCAGGCTCCCAGTGAACCTGATATCCTTGCTGTGGGAAATTTCCCAGTTGTCACTGTCTTGGCTGGAAAAATGATGAGAAGTTTGACTTGGATTGTGGGCAGAGCGAGTTCTCGTGGCCTCCGTGGAGTAGCCAGTAGCCAGTGGTCCTTCCTCTCCCAGGCTCCATGATCACTTTCCTAATTGAAGAAGCTGTCAGAGTGGGTGTCCCAGAGACTGGCTTTTAGTGGGGATCAAGGGCATTCTCCTATTTCCAGGAGCCCTGGTGAACCTTGAGAGCTGAAATTCAGGATTCTTCAGGGTCCGCCCTGGCTGTGCCCAGGGTCAGCCCTGGGGAATGATAATAACTCCAGCTTGTGGGACACTCATTGTGTGTCACCCACTCTTCTAAGTGCTTCATTCATGACTCCTCACCACGATCCTCCGGGGAGGGGCTGGCAGACCCACTTTATACGTAAGTCCTCAGCTTCCTAACCGCTGCACTTTTCTACCTCTCCATTTTGGGACTAAGCAGGACCCAAGTGGTCACCCATGTCTCAGTTTACAGAAACCGACAGAAATATATTTACTATAGCATATTTGTAGTCTGGAGGGGTGGCTGAGCTGTCTTTGAAGCCAGATCGCTTAGGATTGAATTCCAGCTCTGCCACTTAATATGTGAGCTTGGACAAGGGCTTAGCCTCTCTGTACCTCAGTCCTCTTGTCTATAAAATGGGAATGAACAGAGTGTCGGGGTAAATTGAGCAAATGCATCTAAAGGGCATAGGGTTTATACCCGGCAGATATTAGCCTCTATCATTGGGCAAGGTGATATTTTTATCCTGGATGGAGTTATTTTCAGGTGATGGGCTAATGTGAGTGAATCAGTCCATGGGCTAGGTCTGGTATCACCTCTGCTTAGTGCTCAGTAAACACTGGCCCCTGGTGCCAAGGACTGTTAAGTAATACAATAGTGTTTCTTTCAGAGATTTAGCTGTATGAATTCAGACTATCCTTTTAATAAGAAAGCTCACTGCTGCTGATCAGTGCTGATAGTTTGCATTCCTTATAAACTTAGAGGCTCTGGTCTCCCTGAGGTGAGTGGGTGTAGTTTCTTCAGGCAGCGAGGAAGTGGGAGGCACAGAGCCACCGGCACATCCCTGGCCTGCTCAGACTGAAGCACTGTGCCCTCCTCTGCATCCCAGGTGAGGCTGGTGCCTTGTTTTGTTAGCTGTCCTTGCTCCCCTGCACCTGGAAGCGGCCATCTCCCACTTCACAATGAGCAGGTTGTCCTATTCAGCTACATGGATGTCTTTCTGGGCTGTTTTCAGAGTTGTATTAGTCCTTTTCGTGACATTATTCAAATGGAAACAAGGGGATTAGACACCTTAACTCTGTCCACAGGAATTTGAGGTTCATCTACAAACATAACCAGCAATATGACTTGTGGGATCCAGTGTCAAATGAAAATGTGGGGCTCCTCATTAAAGTATCACAATTTCAAAAAAGCAACGGCAGAGATTAAACCAAGCTGGGGGAGTGAGGCCTTCCAAGCGTGGGGTCCTGTGTGCCTGCAGGTCGTGGGCCCACAAAGCCCACTGTACTCACAGGACAATGTGCATGTCACTTTCTATTGCTCCCACCTCCCCAGTCTCAGGGCATGCAAACTATATCTGTATTTTAAAGGTGTTTTTGCATGGGAGCCTATACTTACTGTGAAAGGCATCATTCTCCCATTTTTTGGATGGGGAAACTGAAACTCCAGGAGGCTCACACCTAACAGAATCAGGTTTCCAGCCTGGCTCTGTCAGATGCCAGCTTCTGGCTCTTTACCCGGGTCCAACAAGCCGACCAAGCCACTGCTTCTGTGTCTCATCATTTCTCCCCAGCTGCCTGGGAAGGCCTGGGACCATGAGCTTCCCAGTGCTCACCCACTGTGGTACCCAGGACTACCAAGTCCTGGAGCATGCGCTTGTTGGAGATGGGGGATTCGGTGCAGCAGGAATCCCATCCCTCTGTTTGTATCAGTCTCTTTCTTAACGGTTTTGTTACATTCCTTCTTCTAGAAGTGGCCTTGGGGATCCTGATTGGGGTAGGGAATGCCTTCTGAGGCCCATATGTTGGCAGGGGTGGCTGTCGGGCCATAGTGGGTTACAGTTCATCAGGATGCACTGACCTTTCCATTTCCATCCTGTACGGGGTCCCTCCTGCCTCAGGGCCTTTGCAGAGATAGAGCTCCCTCCTTGGAAGATCACTCCTTGTTGCTACCTTGAACTTTATTTCATTAACTCCAACTGAGTCTTCAGCTGAAGCTCACATCCCCAGAGTCCCTTTCCTGACCCCAAAGTCTAGATCAGGATCTTGCCATGGTTTTCTTAAATGCTGCACTTTTTCTCTGTGGCACGTGACACTGTAGTTACATTCTCCGGTGCCTTTTCTTCAATGAGTGGCTGCCTTACTCACTGGACTCCCTGCTGTGCAAAGTCAGGAATGTTGCCTTTTTCTTCACAATATGTCTGCTGCATGAGGCTTAAGCTGGAAGAAGCAGGAACTGTGAGTGGAGAGGTACGTGGGCAGGGGGACAGTGGATCCGCCTCCCACCTCAATCCTCCACAACACAGGATCACAAACAAGAAGTTAATTTCTTCTTTGACCCAGAGTGACTTTGGCTATCTTTCCTAGGCCAGGAGAGGGAGGATCTGCCCTGCCTGTCTGCCTCATCTACCTGGTAGAGAAGGGGGAGAGTGGCACCATCGGGTCCTGCCTGGTGGCTGGCATGGCCTGTGATTGCTCAGGTTGCCCCTCTGACGTGCTGGGCTTGCAGGGACTGTCATTCAGACTGATATCCAGAGGGAAAAGCCTGGGCTTCTGGGGACCCTGCACCCTATCTTCTGCCTTTGGACTTTGGTGCACCTGCTTCCCATCGTCCTATCCTCTGATTGCCATTGGTGTTCCCTCTGCTGAGCCCTGTGATCCTGGTAACTGCAGGGGGAGATAACTGACTCCCTTTCTCTTACTATTGAAATAAACACCCAACTGAGTCACATTTGCCAGCCCCTGGGTGCCCTACCTGCATTCCCTGTCCTCCCTCCTGCCTTGTCCCATCTCAGAGTTGCCTGGATACATGTGCCACCTTTGCTGGGTTTAAGGCAGCGATCTCCAGGGCTGGGGAGGAGAAGAATGTTGCTCAAGGCACCCAGCTTTGCTGAGAAGGCTCGTCACAGGCACATGGATCCCACAACCTGAACGGCTGTGTCCTCCAGCAAAGCTTTCAGACTTGGTGGGGTCTGTGACCATCAGTTACAACCATGCCACTTACCTCCTGGTGCTGAAGGTGGCAGGTAGAGGGCTGGAATGAAGCTTGCTGTGAACAGGGCTGGATTAGTGTGCTTAGGCTGTGGTAACAGAGTACCACAGGCTGAGGGACTTACGCAACAGAAATGTATTGTCACATTTTGGAATCCGGAAATCCAAGATCAAGGTGCCGGTAGGGTTGGTTTCTCCTGAGGCTTCTCTCCTTGGCTTGCAGATGCCGCCCTCTTCCTGTGCCTTCACATTGCTTCCCTCTGTGCATCTGTGTCCTCCCTCATCTCTTCTTCTTATAAAGACCACTGATACTAGATGAGGGCCCACCCTAATGACTTTAACTTAATTACTCCTTTAAAGACTCTATCTGCAAATACAGTCCCATTCTTAGGTCCTGGGGCTAAAGCTTCCACAAACGAATTTTGGGAGGACACAATTCAACCCATAACCAAGGTCTTTGCACTTTGGTGGAAGAAACAGAGGCTTGTGTCATTTGTAAAAGAATATGGGGCAAAATGAAGGCAGGGAGATATGCCGATAGGGTAACAATGAGGGTTCATCCTGGGAGGCTAGAGTATAGTCCTTTCCCTTTCCCGGGAGCCCCTGACCCTATCCTGAGCCACAGAAGTGGAAGGGTTACTAGCTTGCCTCCAGGATGGAATCTGGCCTCCCATGGGGACTGGAGCACTTGGCACATCCTTCTGGTTTCAGTCACTATATATAATCCCTCCTCCTTGTAGTGTTAATAGGAGGAGCCTGGGGCGTGGGGTCCCGCCTGCACTCTCATCCCACCCATCTTGTTTCAATTTCCTGCCTTCCTCAGCTCTCCTGGCCTCCACTGAGGAGCTCTTGGGGGCGGGATGGGGCTGGACTTCAGTTCTGGAAGTCAGCTGCCGCATCTTTGCTGCTCTCTGCCCGCCCAGCCCCTGGCAGCTGTTGGAGCCGGGTCAGCCGGTGTCCCCAGCTGCTGCATTCCTCACCAGGGAGCTCCTGCCATGAGAGCTGTGTGGACTTCACACAGGGCTTCAGCAGTGAGGAAGAAATGCCTTCCAACTAATTTAACATGGCCTATGGGCCAGGTGCCCACCAGGTGGGCAAGATGCAGGGGAAATGGTGGGGCCAATTCCTCCTCTTTTTCCTTGCAGGAGGGTCTTCTGATGACAGCGGGATTGCTTCCAGGGCGGGTCTCTCCTTTGGCTACAGTTAGTCTGCGGCCCTAAGTATCTCCCAGGCTGGCTTTGTCCCGCATCACTGCAGACACAGAGCTCATACCCATCTAGCAGAGAGTCCAGCTGAGCCTTAACCCTTTTCTTCTGGGCTCACTTCCATATATATCAAAGACTCTGGTGTTTTAATCACTGGCTAGACCTGTGAATGGAATGTATGACAAAAGGGACTTTATGGGTGTGAAGATGTTAAGATTCATGGCATTACCCTGTGGGCTAGTGCTTGTCTTCTGAGAGATGAGAAAGAAAATTTAAGGGAAAATTACCCTCAAATTCATCTGTCTTGAGGTGTTCAGTTATTAAATCAATAGTGGAAGCTGTATAGGAGGATGACCTGTTGCCTGGATTTTTACGATGAAGAATAGTTTTCATCTGCCAGCCTTCCCCAACCCTCGGCAAAGGCCGCCCGCCTGCAGCCCCACAGCCTCCTTGTCAAATGTTCACAACTTGCTTGATCTGTTTTTCCTCTTTCCTCCTTGCTTCCCTTCAGCACTGCCCAGGGGTCTGCCCGGCCCCAGGGCGACTCCCCACCCACAGCATATCTGACATCAGGTCAGGGACAAAACATGAAAGCAGGCTGGGGGGTGAGGTGTGGGGAGTGGTGGGGAGTGGTGGGGGATCAGCTGTGGGCTGGACATTTTTAAGAAATTCCGAAAATCTAAATCTTTTACGTGAAATCTGAATTTTAAATGTCCAGCAACTAATTACAAAATTTTGAAAAATACTTCTGGGTCACGAGGTCATTGTCTAGCATCCCACATGGACAGGGTGGTCCCATAGATGAGACAGTGGGGGCCCACAGAGGCTCACCCCCAGAAAAGCCCCTCCTCTGGAGAGGCGAGGGGCCGCCTGCCTCTGTGGCTAGGCAGGGTATTATGTCTGCGAAGTCCAGGATGCCCAGTGTGTGGAGGCATTTCCCGGCTTCTGGACTGCGGGCTGTCCGCAGAGGGACCTGGGGCTCTCCTCATCCTCTCTTCTCCCCTTTTTCTCTGCAGAGGTCTGTGCAGCCCTCAATGTCACTGTGTCCCCGGGGCCCGTGGTTGACTACCTGGAGGGGGAGAATGCCACTCTCCTCTGCCACGTCTCCCAGAAGAGGCGGAAGGACAGCTTGCTGGCTGTGCGCTGGTTCTTTGCACGCTCCTCCAACTCCCAGGAGGTCTTGATGGTGAAGATGACCAAGCTCCGGGTGGTGCAGTACTACGGGAATTTCAGCCGCAGTGCCAACCGGCAGAGGCTGCGCCTGCTGGAGGAGCAGCGCGGGGTGCTCTACAGGCTCTCTGTGTTGACGCTGCAGCCCTCGGACCAAGGGAATTATGTCTGCAAAGTCCAGGAAATCAGCAAGCACAGGAACAAGTGGACGGCCTGGTCCAATGGCTCCTCAGCCACGGAAATGAGAGGTGAGGGTCCCGTCTCCCTGGGGAGAAGTCGTGGGGGTGGGGCAGGACCCCTTCTGCAGCCACCACCCAGGGGCCCCCGGGTTGGCTCTGTTGCACTAGAACGTATCTTGCGGGCCTCTGTTGGCCACAGACAAGAGTCATGCTATGGGGTGAGGGTAGATCTTGACCTGGACACTGGCTAACGTGCTGTGTAGACACAGAAGTGAGAACAGAAAGGACCACAGGCCTGGCCCAGCATGGCCCAGCCCACCCTCTGGGCAAATCTGCTTAAGTGTCTGAAGTTGCCCTGGCTGTGTGCTGTCAAGGGTCAAAAAAGCTGGACCCTGGTCAAAGGGGTCAGGGTGGATTTTATTCAGCAGTAGCTATTGCAGTAGAGAAGAGAGCCTGGCATGAACTGGATTCAACTCTTATTTGTGCAGATGTGACTGGTTGTTTTCAAAGGAGAATGAGTGAGGGCGGGCATGAGTGAGGACTCAGTAGAGTCAAAGAAGTGTGAGTAGAGTCAAAGCAGTAGTGGGGGTGTTTGGCTCATGTGGAACCCCCGTCTGGGCTTGCTAAGGTTCTTATGCAAATTTGGCTTCTACCTTCCCACAGAGACGGGGAGACGAGGGTTTTGTCTTCAGGTATTGGCTGGAACAAGCAGTAACTGCTTTTGGCAGCCTTGAGTTTTCTCAGGCAGGCACTTTTAGAAGGTCACCCCTGGCATAGGCATACGGCCTTGAGCCATTCGAAACTATGTTAGTGTTTGTTGGAGTCTCTAGGCCAAGGTTGAGGCTTAGTCGATAAAAGGCCCCGAGGATCCTGGCTGTAGTTTGGCTAAGGAGAGCATCTATGTCAGTGCTCAGCCTCCCACCCAGGTCCATGCAGGCTTGATGGCTTTGGCTGGGGGGGCGCCGGGCACCCATGGAGAGGCACGCATTGGGAAGTCTTGCTGTAAGTCGTCAGGCCTAGGAGTAGCGCAGGCTAATTGCCCACTGGAACTGATCCAAGCTGAGGCAGCAGATCGCCAAGAAATTCGTGAGGAAGTGGGCAGAGGACCACGGGTAGCCCTCCCTTCCTGAAGACAGATAGGAGGGATGGGCAGCGTTTCTGGAACATCTCAGCTACCAAGTGCCGTATTTTGGGGCTGTCATTTTTTTATGACCAATGTTTCTATTCAGGAAGACAACTCTGGCAATTTTAGTAAGACTTTCTGTTGTGCACTATATGACGCCTTTGATTACTTTGAAATTGAATTTAGTTTGGTGCAAGATCAAGAGGCTCACAAAGTACAGCTGATAGTCTCAAATATGAAAAAGGGTCTGGTTTTATTGTACACATATAACATAATACTCAAGGCCTTAGTGATGCAGTTTTGATTAGCCTTTTTAAAGGACAAAACTTAGTTGTGAAAAGTATTTTTAATGTCTTATATAAATAAGGGACATGGAATAAAATAATTTATATAGAGATTCTTTACAGTAGTTCAATGTTACTTGTCTTTGGAGTTTGCTTGTTGTAATGTTCATAAGCACAGAATGATATATTAACTAGAATGTGCAATTTTTCTCCTTAAGACAATTAATTCAAGAAAACCAACGACTGTTGGTTTATTATTTTTGCACAAAAACATAAATACATCAGATCATCAAGGGCTGAGCTGAGAGCCCTCGGCAAATACCACTTGGCTCTGAAACACAAGATCTTATATATATATATATATATATATATGGGGTGTGTATGAGTGTATGTGTGTGAATAGTGTTGTTTTTGGTCTTTGTGTCACAGTGTATTCTGGAGTCATAGACTAAATCTTTAGGCAGTGATGACGCCCCGCCAAATAAAATATATAAAAAGGTTTGCTGCCTTCAGGTAAGCACAGTCATGTAGCTTGTTGGTCAATGTGAATCTCATTTCAGTGAGTGAAGCTGGGTTCAGTCTAGACCATTTGTTTGAGAACTTGCTCCAAATACGTGAGGTAGTTTGTTTGTTTGTTTATTGCATTTTAGGTTTTTAAGACTTCACTGGAAATAAGGATCTCCTCCCCCTTCTTCTCCTGCTCTCTTGCTCCCCCACTTTCGTGCCCTGGTTCTCCCCTCCTCAGCTCCCTTTCCCTTCTTCCTCATTCCTCTCTCTGTCTCTCTCTTTCTCTCCCTCTGTCTGTCTCTCTGTCTGTCTCTGTCTCTCTCTCTCTTTATTCTTCTGTCTTTGTCTCTCGGTCTCTCTCTGTGTCTCCCCCTGTCTTTCCATCTCTCTCTGTGTGTCTCTCTGTGTGTCTCTCTCCCTCTGTGTCTCTCTGTGTCTTTGTCTTTCTCCCTCTGTGTCTCTGTCTCTGTCTCTCTCCCTGTTCTCTCTGTCACTGTTTCTCTGTCTTTTCTTCTCCCTCTGTGTATCTCCGTATCTCTGTCTCTTTCTCTGTGTGTGTGTGTCTCTGTCTCTCTTCCTCTGTGTCTCTCTCTCTATACGATATCTCTTTATTTCTCTGTCTCTCTCCACTTCTCTCACCCACCCCTTTCTGACCTCTCACCCGGAAGTGGTTCTACCCTCTCAGCAGAGCTCTGCCTCCCTTGCCATGTCTGCTCTGCCTCCCCTGTGCAGGGCTATGATTTGCTGATGGAAAGATTCAAAACTTAGGAAGCAATGACCATACCTTCTAGAACATTCTATGTAGACCTCCAGGGGACTGTTCCAAGGCAGTTAAGGAAAGGTAACTGCAAGCAAATGACCTGAAACCAGACAGGCTGTTTGTGTCGGAGCAGTTCACCCTAGGCTGGGACTATGTGGAGCCTTGGCTGACTATTCTTCCTGGGCAGGGCCAGGAGAGGCCCATGGCTCCAGCCTCCCAGAACACCTTTCCCGGGGCTCTGGGCCTTGTCTGTCTCCAGGGCTTTATTTTCCTAAATCTCCACCTTTTTTTTTTGAGAAAGAGTCTCTTCACTCTGTCGCCCAGGCTAGAGTGCAGTGGTGCCATGTGGGCTCATTGCAACCTCTGCCTCCCAACTTCAAGCAATTGTCCTGCCTCAGCCTCCTGAGTAGCTGGGATTATAGGCATGTACCACCACACTCAGCTCATTTTTGTATTTTCAGTAGAGATGGGATTTCTCCATGTTGGCTAAGCTGGTCTCGAACTTGTGACCTCAGGTGATCCACCCGCCTGAACCTCCCAAAGTTCTAGGTTTACAGTTGTGAGCCACCTTAAATGGAAAACAAAAACAAAGAACAAGAAGGATGAGAAGTTCTGTGGGTACATACCTTTGGGTTGGAATATCAAATGGGATGTCTCCGCGGGGTTTGGGAGTGCCCCCCACTCCAGGTCTGTGGTCTCTTTTCTAATCTGCTCATGTTACCTCTCTCCTTTCAATAGGAGTCTCCAGCCATCCAGCAGAGAGGGGAACTTTTCTTGGGATTTCCCTTCTAATACCACCCCACTCTTTTCCCTTCACCACAGATATGGTCTCCTTCCTTCAGAGTTCTTGATGTGAGATAAAATTGCTTGTCTTCCACTGTAAACTCCCAGAAAGAAAGGCTGGTGCGTGGTCTCTCCTCATCCCTCTGTTGTGGGCGACTTGCCTAGCACAGGGAGGGTGACTCGTGATGATGTATTTAAAGAATGACTCCCGGCACAGAGAAGAGCCATAGGAGTGTTGGCTTTTATTATCTGTCCTGATTTCCATATGTTGGTTGTTTTCTATTGCAGAAGTAATATAGTGTAATATAGTTCAATTATAGAAAACATGGAAAAACACTGAAAGGGTTTAAAGAAGAAAATAAAAATGACTTACCATATCTCTACTCAGGCACAACTTAACATTTCAGTGCAAATACTTTCAGGCATTTTATGCAAACATAAATTTAAAATCTAATTTCAATCTTACTGTAAAGAGTGCTCTGTGACTGGCTTTTCTGATATTACTAAATAGTGTGCACATTTTCCCTTGCTAAATATACTTCCAAAACATAATTTTAATGATGGAATCGTGTTCCATCATGCAGATGGGCCACAATTTAGCTTCCTACATATTGTTACTGGACATTTAAAGCTGCTCTAAATCATTGTCAATAAATCTCCATGATCTTAGCATAAAGTCCTGGAAATAAAATTGCCAGGTCCAAAGGTCTACCCAATTTAAAGATGGACACAATTTCAAGAAGTGAATTGACCTCTAAAATAGTTTGCCTATTTATACTCCCACCAGCATTGAAAATGCCTTTTCCCGTGAATTAGTTTACATAAGAGCTACCAATTTCATGTGGTTAATTTTACGTGTTGAGTAGGCTAAATGATGCCCAGATAGCTGGTAAAACATTATTTCTGGGTGTGTTGGTTCTATTTCTCTATGACAGTCATATATGCTTTTTGAGGATGATGATGATAACAATGAATGCCTGCAACAGTGCCTGATAAACGATTGACCCTCAATACATACTTGAGGAATGCATAAAATGTTCTTTGTCAAGTGGCATTAGCACCTGTTGCTGTGGATGACCTTGAAGTAGGCATGACTTGGAGGATGTAGTCACCCTCTCTGGGATGCTGCACCTCTTTTTCCCTTGACCTATTCCAATCATACCTATTTTTTGGGGTCCTAGATTCATCTTTCCTCTTCCATCAATGCATTGTTTGGGCATGAGGGCTCTCCCACTGGGGATGTCGTGTAGCTTCTGTTTTTAGCACTGTAGACACAACATTATGTAGTCGTGCCATTGTTTTTCAAGCTGCTGTGGCACAGGGATAGTGTCAAAAATATTATATGTAAAAGAGTCGGCTGGGTGTGGTGGCTCATGCCTCTAATTCCGGCACTTTGGAATGCCAAAGTGGGCAGATCATGAGTCAGGAGTTTGATACCAGCCTGGCCAACATGGTGAAACCTCACCTCTACAAAAATACAAAAATTAGCCAGCCGTGGTGGCGGGCGCCTGTAATCCCAACTACTCAGGAGGCTGAGGCGGAAGAATCACTTGAACCCAGGAGGTGGAGGTTGCAGTGAGCCGAGATTATGCCATTGCACTCCAGCCTGGGT